TGGCAGTCCACGGTACTTTCAGTATTCTTCACCAGCACCACAACTCACAATGAAGGAAGTTGAGCCAATGGTTCTGGCTCATGGATACAGTTTATTCTGTGCTTACTTTGTAAAGGAAATGGTTAGACACCCAGCTGCTAATGCATCTGGGAGACAAGGCCTGGCAACCTGCTCTCGTAAAGATCACAGCCTTGGCAACCATGTGGGCCACTTGTACTCGGTCTTGAGGCTTTCTGTGAGTCAGAATGCACCCAACTGCACCAGACAACAGCCTGTGAAAGAATCCTTAGTTCCTGCTGGATTCTCCCCTCTCTACCCCCAGAGGTACCCTGTCCTTATCCAAAGAGGCTTAGTTTGTTGTGCTGTTGTTGGTTGTTTGTTTTGAGTGGGTAAGGTATCTGGCTGCTATGGAGAAGGTCAAACTCACCAGTTGCTCTGTGGGAGGAAGATGAGACAATCTACTTCCATAAAGATTTATAGCCTTGGAAACCCAATGGGGGTTGCTGTGAGTAGGAATCTTGGTACTGTGCTAAATGATAAAGCCTGCTTGAGAATTACTTGGCGGTCACTCAAGTGCTCTCTAAGGCTGGGGGACTGAGGAATGTCTGCAGCTTTTGAATTACTGTCCGGGCCTTGCAAGCCAAGGGCCAGGACAGTTCAGAAGAGCAGAGGGGAGGTCAGAGGCCAAGGTGGGAGGGAGGGACGGGAGAGGGGCTGAATCTCCTAGCCCAGAAGGAACTTAGGGGAAAGAAGAGGGGAGATTTCCAAGGTTTGCCATATGTTGTACGGAATCCCATCTATCCTCTGTCTTCCCGTGGCTGTTGCAAAGTCCACCTTGGGTGAACGCATCACGGCATCAAGTCCATTTTGGGGGAAGTGCCAGAAGATTGGGATCGCCTCCAGTGGGTCTGAAGGAATGGAGGCTTCCCACATCAGGCAGGAGTACAGCCAGAACACATGAGCTCGGCAGCTGCCTCTCGGTGGGTCCCTGCCACTTGCATGGGTCCGGGCATCTGAGTCTTGCCTGCCCCTCCTCTGACTTTTTGTCTCACTGCATCCTCCCCAGTCCCTTCCCTGGCCCTCCTTGTCTACCTCAAGGCAGCTTCCTGCCTGTCCTTCAGAATCCACCCTGAGCAGCTAGTCCCTGAGAGGGGCCTAGGCACCAGCCATGCCGGCCCCCTTGTTACATGCTGTCTGGTCTGTTTGGACTCATGGCAGCCCAATGTGACAGAGTAGAACCGCCTCCTAAGGTTTCCAAGGCTGAAGTCTTCACAGAAGCAGATCTCCTGGTTTTCTCCAGCAGAGCTGCTGGTGGGTTCAAACCATCAGCCTTTCAGTTGGCACCCAAGAGCATAGCCATTGCACCATCAGGGCTCCTTTCGGGCCCCCATAGGCCCTCCTCTAACTTGATTTTGGCTTTTGTTAGGTTGATTTATCTTTTTGCCTTTTCATTCCTTCTTTTTGTGACACACATGATGCAGAAATACATAAATGTTCAAAGAAAAGTTCCCATCTGCATAGTGAGGGCATCTAAGGCTGATTGAACCATGGCCATGCCCTGGGGCAAGGAGTTGTCATACTCCTTCCCAGGTTTTACAGGTGAAGAGATTAAGGTTCAGAGGGGTTAAGTCACAACCCCAAATTCTCCCTGTACCCACCCCAGGCTCTCCTTCCTCCTGCACCCGGCAGCTGGCTTTCTGTCCCTTCACCCCAGCTGTAGCCTGGAAGGCCTCTCTGGAAGAGAAAGAGCCTGATGGGGAGCACAGAGGAGGCTGTGGAGGTGGTGGCTGTGGTCGGCACGAGAGGGTGGTCATGTGGCGCGCTGCTCGACTTTGTCACCTCATTTGGACACTCATCTTGTGGATGCTGCTCCCGTTTCCCTAGCCACCTTCTCCTCAGCATCCGACCTACCTTTAGAATCGTCCTGGTTCTCCCTGGGCCTCCTGTTGCTCTGTGCCCTTGGGGAAGGGACTTGCCTTCTCCCAGCCTCCATCTCCTCCCTGCAGGAGGGCCTTGGACCGGGGAGTCTGGTCCTGCCCAGCTCTTGAGGGTCTCAGTCTTGTGGGCCTCTCCCTTCGTAGAAGGCAGAGCACCAGTTGAAGAAGGATCACCTCAAAGTGTTTCTTCTTCCTGTTGCAAGACGACTTTGCCACAAATTCTTCATTTTGGTCAAATTCTAAGAAAGGAGAGTAATAAGAGAGACAGAGCGGACCTTTTCATGGAAATTAAAGAAATGGTCAAGTTGGCGTCTTCCCTGGGTTTGGTGGGCACCAGCACGTCCCAGAGAAAGCAGCATTGCTCTCTCCTGTCCTGTCAGAAGCCGAGGGACGGTCTTCACATCACGAAGGTGGGTGATGGCCCAGGGAGGCACAGGAGCCTTTCCCCAGAACCTCTGAATGCAGTTTGCAAAGGGCCAGGAAGGAGAGGACAGAGCCACTAGGAAGGCATTGACATCTCCGGAAAAGCAGCTGTCTCAGAGCTCCACTGGATGTCCCGTTGTTGGGTGCCATCCAGTCATAGTGACCCCATGTACCACAAACCCAAACACTGCCTGGGCCTGCGCCGTCCTCACCATCCTTGCTGTGTTTGAGCCTGTTGATGCAGTCGCTGTGTCAGTTCATTTCCTTGTGGGTCTTTGTCTTTTCTGCTGACCTTCTCCTTTTCCAAGCACAATGTTCTTCTCCAGGGACTGGTCCCTCCTGTCCAAAGTCCCTGCGATGAAGTCTTACCATCCTCACTTCTAAGGAGCATTCTGGCTGTATCTCTTCCAAGACAGATCTGTTTGTTCTTCCAGCAGTCCACGGCACAGTGAGTGTTCTCTGCCAGCACCATCATTCAAGGACATCAATTCTTCCTCAGTCTTGCTTATTCATTGTCCAGCTTTCACATGCATGTGAGGCGATTGAAAATACCATGGCTTGAGTCAGGTGCACCCGAGTCCTCAAGGTGACAACTTTGCTCTTTAACACTTTAAAGAAGTCTTTTGGAGCATATTGGCCCAGTGCAGTATGATGTCTGATTTCTTGATTGCTGCTTCCATGGGCATTGATTGTGAGTCCAAGTAAAGTGAAATCCTAGACAACTTCAATCTTTTCTCCATGTATCATGATGTTTCACACTAGTCCAGTTGTGAGAATTTTTGTGCTCTTCATGTTGAGGTATAATCCGTACTGAAGGCTGTAATCTTTGTTCTTCATCAGTTAGTGCTTCAAGTCATCTTCGCTTTCAGCAAGCAAAGTTGTATCATCTGCGTATCTCAGGTCATTAACAAACGTTTCTCCAATCCTAATGCTGCGTTCTTCTTCATATAGTCCAGCTTCTTGGATTATTTGCTCAGGATGAGTATGGTGAAAAGACACAACCCTGACACTCTCCTTCTGTGATTTTAAACCACACAGTGTCCCCTTGTTATATCCGAATGACTGCTTCTTTGTCTATATACAGTTTCTGCATGAGCGCAATTAAGTGTTCTGGAGGTGCTACTTACCATTTAATAAACCAGAACACTTCAGAGTTAGACTACTTCGGAATTTGATATTTAGCATCAAAATGGGATAGCAAATCCACAAATTAAATTTTCATTGCAATCGCACTTTTTAGAGGAAGCAATGTTTGTGGTTTGTGAGAGAGAGAGAGAGAGAGAAGGCACTGCTCAACACAGCCCTTAGGCTGTCCCTCACTGGTGTCAACTCCTTGGCATGGCTTCACCTCTCAGTTGCAGCTGGAAGGAATTCAATAAAGCAAGATATATTGTTATGGTTTATTACGTCAGGGTGTGGGGGAGTTACTTAGAATCCAGACAATCAGCTCTTCAGTGCTCCCCTCGGCTGTTTTGTCAAGGTTCTAAATGAAGCGTCAGCTGGTACTCAAAGGGCCGTATTTCAAGAGTTCCCAGAAGTGCCACCTTCCCCCTCTTTTGGAGAATAACAGGAAAAGACGTGCTTCTAGCACAAACAATACATTTGGTTCTCCAAGCTTGGATCAAGCGAAGTATTTGTTTCTACAAATGTATTTTTCAAGAGCCACGTTAGAAGCAAGGATAAGCATTTGGAACTCACTGTACATGAGGCCTGGGCCACTCTAGTAGCCCTGCCAGGTCGCCTGTCCCCTCAGCTCCCAGCATTGTTCACAGTGCCCACTCCTTTCCTTTCCCATCCATTTCTCCCCCATATTATCTTTTGTCTTTAAAATGCTGTTAGTTGAGTTTTCACTGGAGATACAGGATTTCTTTGCCACCTGGTGACATACCTGTTTTCCAGGTTTCAGTGCATTTGCATCTCTTCCCCACTTTCACCTGTGATGAAGGTTGAGCTTCGCCTAGTTCTGCTAAGGCCATACCCTCAGCGTCTGTCTCCCTGCATGGTTGTTGACTGGCCGGCCTACCTCTTTGAGCTTGGTGTTATGAGCTTGAGCATGTAGTTGAGGGATGTGGCTTTCTCTGTGTCTGGTCTCTGTTTCTTAGGTCTTTGTTTCCCTAAGTGTGCCATGTGTCTGTTACAGGGGTGGCCTTAGGTGGCACACAGACCTAGCACAAAATGGCCGGGAAGTAACTACTCCCTGAACCTTGTGCCTTTTCCATTCCCTTTCTGCTCCTTCTGATAGTGTCACAGTTAGGGGTCTGTCTGTCTTCAGTGCCTTGTAAGTATTTGCCAGACTCCTGTTTTTACCCAAGACAGACAAGGCCTCAGGCACTTCACCACCGTCTTTGGCTAGAAGGTTAGAACATTGTTTGATTTTCGTTTTCTTTTTCTAATTACTGTCAATTTTACAGCAATGTTGATTTCCCATTTACAAGTCGTGATAGAAAATGTACTTTTAAGACATATACTTAAATTCACTTCCCATAACACAGTGAGGTAAGTTATAGTACAGGCAGTTATGGAAGGAGTCACAAAGAACTTAGGGCTAAGCGGAGGAGACCTTGCTCCAAGGGGTCCTTTAACATGATGACATCTCAGTAAGTCAGCTCTGCTGACATCTTGATCCTTTCTTCGTTCCAGGCATGGATCCAGAAAAATTAGAGAGAATCCAGCTCCCGGTGCCAAATGCGGTTGAGAAGACCACCTACAACCATCTCCTGGCTGAGAGACTCATCAGAATAATGAACAACGCTGCCCAGCCAGGTGCCTGGGGGAGTGTGGGCTGTTTACAGGGCTGGTGGGGTCAGAGGGACCAGCCTACCGACTGGCCACCAAGACAGTGGGGTCTGGGCCTGACCCTTCTGAGAATCTGGGCGGTTCTGACCTACTCCCTCTGCCTCAGGTACTGCCATGTGGTACCAGGTCCTCTGCCACCAAGATCCTCCCCTGTAGCCCATGTGTCCCCTTCTCTTGGTTTTCTTCTCCTTCCATGCCAACTCTTTTGTCCCTTTTGCTGACATCTGCCACCCTCCTCTCTGGATGGCCCAAGGCCATATGAGAATGACCAGGCTGAGAGTTGGAGCGAGGGCAGGGCTGGATCGAGATGAGACGGCCCTGGTGTTTGGCACTCTCCAGTCTGGTTCAGAGGTTTTGGCCAACCCCTATCTGCAACCTGTGGGAAGGGCTAGGAAGAGCAGACAGTATGATTTAGCACCATGCTTCTCAACTAGGGGTGATCTTGTCCCTTGGGGACATTTTTGGTCATCACCGTAGGAGAGGGAGGTTCTGTTGACATCTGGTGGGTAGAGGGAAGGGCTGCTGCCAGACATCCTACAGTACGTAGAACAGGCCACCACAACAGAGGATTGTCTGGCCCTAAGTGTCAAGGGACTTGTTTTGATTTAATTTAGCTTCATCTTGAACTTGCATATGAGCAACTGATGGTCTATTCCACAATCGGCCCCGGCCTTCTTCTGAGTATATTGAGCTTCTCCATCATCTCTTACCATGGATGTAGTCAATTTGATCCCTGTGTATCCTATGTGGAATATGGGGTATGCATTCTAAATGTATACATATGTCTGTACATATACATACATATATGGGAATTATATTGTTGAAAAGGGAATTTGCAATGAATAGATTGCTGCTCTTGCCAAATTCTATTCTGTGATCTCATGAGTTATTTCTGTCACCAAGGCTGTATTTTCCAACTATTGATCTTTCTGCTTTGTTTCTAACCTTTGCATTCCAATCAAAAGCATCTTGATTGCATGTTCGATCAATTTCAGACTGTAGAAATTCGTAAAAACTTCAATTTCTTCATCTTTGACATTAGTGGTTGGTGTGTAAATTTGAATGATATTCATATTCACTGGTCTTCCTTGTAGGAGTATATATATTATCCTGTCACTGACAACGTTGTCCTTCAGGGGGGATATTGAAATGTTCTTTGTGATGATGAATATGATGCTATTCTTCATCACTTTGCCCTTCCCAGCATAGTAGACCATATGATTATCCAATTCCAAATGGCCAATACCCGTCCATTTCAGCTCACTAATGCTAGCATATTGATCTTCAGGAGTTCAATTTCAACAGATTTTTAATTTTCCTACATTCATATTTTGTACATTTCACATTCTTATTATTAATGGATGTTTGCAGCTGTTTCTTCTCATTTTGAGTCATACCACACCAGTAAATGAAGATCCCAAAAGCTTTACTCCATCTGCATCATTAAGGTTGGCTCTGCTCTGAGGAGGCAGCTCTTCCTCAGTTGTGTTTTGAGTGCCTTCCGACCTGAGGGGCTCATCTTCTGGCACTGTATTTGGCAGTGTTCCACTGCTGTTCATAAGGTTTCCACTGGCCAGTTTTTTTTTTTTTTTAAATTGTGATTTGAGTGAAAATTTACAGAGCAAATTCACTTTCCGTATAGCAGTTCATATACACTTTGTCTCATGACAGTGACCACAATTTACCACAATGCAGCAGCTCCCCTCCCACTTCCTCCCGACAGTAACCTCTTCCCTGTGTCCATCCCTCCATGCACGGGCCAGTGTTTTCAGAAGTAGATTGCCAGATCCTTCTTCCAAGTCTGTCTTAGTCTGGAAGCTCTACTGAAACCTGTCTACCATGGGGGACCCTGCTGGCATTTGAAATACCAGTGGTACAGCTTTAAGCAACATATAAGGAAGGCCCAGTACATCAAACTGACAAGTTCAAGTTGAAGCTAAAGGAAATTAAAACATGTCCATGAGAGCCAAATTATGACCTTGAGTATATCCCACCAGCATTTAATGACCACTTCCAAAATAGATTTCACATATTGAACATTAATGACCGGAGACCAGACCCATTGTGGGATGACATCAGGGGCATTATATATGAATAAATCATTAAAAAGTCAGGAAAAAAGAAACACCAGAATGGATGTCAGAAGAGACTCAAACTTGCTCTTCAACATAGAGTAGTTAAAGCAAATGGAAGAAATGATGAAGTAAAAGAGCTGAACAGAGGACTCCCAAGGGCTTCTTGAGAAGACAAAGTATTACAATAAAATGTGCAAAGACTTAGAGTTAGAAAACCAAAAGGGAAGAACACACTTAGTATTTGTCAAGCTGAAAGAACTAAAGAAAAATTTCAAGCTTCAAGTTGCAATATTCAACAGTTCTAAGGGTAAAATATTGAACAGTGCAGGAAGCATCAAAGGAAGATGGAAGGAATATACAGACTCACTGTACCAAAAAGAATTGATCAATGTTCAGTCATTTCAGGAGGTAGCATATGAACAAGAACCAATGGTATTGAAACAGGAAGTCCAAGCTGCACTGAGGGTACTGGCAAAAAACCAGGCTCCAGGAATTGATGGAGTATCAATTGAGATGTTTCAACAAATGAATACAACACTGGAAGCAGTCACTCACCTATGCCAAGAAATTTGGGAGATAACTACCTGGTCAACTCTCTGGAAGAGATCCATATTTGTGGCCACTCCAAAGAAGGATGATCCAACAGAATGCAGAAGTTATCAAACAATGTGATTAATATCACATGCAAGTAAGATTATGCAGATCATTCAAAAACAGATGCAGTACTACATCAACAGGGAATTGCCAGAAATTCAAGCTGGATTCAGAAGAGGACATAGAATGATGGACATCATTGCTGATATCAGATGGATCTTCATTGAAAGCAGAGAATACCAAGAAGATGTTTACCTATGTTTTATTGACTATACAGAGGCATTCAACTGTGTGGATCTTAACAAATTATGGATAACATTGCAAAGAATGGGAATTCCAGAACACTTAATTGTGCTGCTGAGGAACCTATACATAGACCAAGAGGCAGTCATTTGAACAGAACAAGGGGATACTACATGGTTTAAAATGAGGAAAAGTGTGCATCAGTGTTGTATCCTTTCAGCATACTTATTTAATCTGTATGATGAGCAAATAATCCAAAGAGTTGGACTATATAAAGAACACAACATCAGGATTAAAGGAAGACTCATTAACAACCTGTGATATGCAAATGACATAACCTTGCTCGCTGAAAGGGAAGAAGACTTGAAGAACTTTTTTTTTTTTTAATTGTGATTTGGGTGAAAATTTACAGAGCAAATTCACTTTCCATACAGCAGTTCACATTCACTTTGTCTCATGACATTGACTACAATTTACCCCAATGCAGCAGCTCCCCTCCCACTTTCTCTGATTGTTACCTCTTCCCTGTGTCCATCCCTCCATGCACTCCTGCCCACTGAGCTGTCTCCCTGTGTATAAACAGACCTTCTTTCTCCCATGATTGTTCTCTCCAAGGAGTGTATCTACCTCAGGTAAATGTTCAACTTACATACCTGTCTTTTGTTTGGCTGGAAGCCACAGGTGTGGGTTCACTTCCACACCTGAAGGGCAGCTGGGGGCCATAGTCTCAGTGGTTCCACCAGGCTCTATCAGACCAGCAAACGTGGTCCCCTTCCCACCCCCACCCCCAAATGATTTTGAGTTTTGTTCCACATTGTTCTCCCTCTCTACCCAGGATCTCCTACATAGATCTACCTCCCAGTGGTTGACAGTGGTAGCCAGGCACCATCTAGTTCTTCTGGTCTCATAGTCATATAGGCTGCAGATCGCATGGTGTTCCAATCACTAGGACTAATTGTTTCCATGAATCTTTGGTTTTCTTCATTCTCCTTTGCTTTGGATGAGGAGAGACCCATCGTTGCATCTAAATGGCTGCTTGCAAGCTTTTTTTTTTTTTTCAGGATTTGGGTGAAGATTTACAGAGTAAATTCACTTTTCATACAGCAGTTCACATATACTTTGTCTCATGTCATTGACCAAAATTTACAATGCAGCAGCTCCCCTCCCACTTCCTCCCCATAGTTACCTCCTCCCAGTGTCCATCCCTTCATACTCTTCTGCACCCTGAGCTATCTCCCTGTGCATAAGCAGCCCTTCCTTTTCCCATGATTGTTCTCTCCAGGGCGTGTGTCTACTTGAGGTAAATGTTTAACTCACATGCCTGTACTTTGTTTGGCTGGAAACCACAGGTGTGGGTTCAATTCCAGACCTGAAAGGCAGCTAGGGGCCATAGTCTCAGTGGTTCCACCAGGCTCTATTGGACCAGCAAACCTGATCCCCACCTTCTTTTTTTTTTTTGCTTGCAAGCTTTTAAGATCTCAGTCGCTACTTGCCAAAGTAGGAGGTGAAACAATGTTTTATGTAGTATGTTATGCCAATTGAGCTTGATGTCCCCTGTGACTATGGTTCCAAGCCCACCGGTTCAACTACTCAGTCCCTCTGAGTAGCTGGCTGTGACCAAAAAGTGACTACAACCTTGTCTCTTGTCAGTTCTACTATGCACCTGGGAATTCTTACAGGACATACAAATACACTTGTAGGGCCATTGTCTGCCAACCCTATACGTGGTTGAAGAACTTTCTGATGAAGATCAAAGACTACAGCTTTTAGTATAGACTATACCTCAACATAAAGAAAACAAAAATCCTGACCAGTGGACTAATAAACAACATCATGATAAGTGGAGAAATGACTGAAGTTGTCAAGGATTTCATTTTACTTGGATCCACAATCAATGCCCATGGAAGCAGCAGTCCAGAAATAAAGTGATATACTACACTGGGCAAATATGCTGCAAAAGATCTCTTTTGAGTGTTAAAAAGCAACGTTTTCACATTGAGGACTGTGGTGAGCCTGACCCCCAAGCCATGTTACTGACCAAAGGAAAAATGATACCTTTGAATTATGGTGTTGGTGAAGAATATTGAATGTGGTATGCTCCTTGGAAACAAGGAGGGCAACGCTCCGTCTCATGTACTTTGGACATGTTGGTAGGAGGGACCAGTCCCTGGAGGAGGACATCATGCTTGGTAAAGCGGAAGGGCAATGAAAAAGAAGAAGACTCTCAATGAGCTGGATTGACACCATGGCTCCCATGATGGGCTCGGGCGCAGCATTGATTGTGAGGATGATATAGGACTGGGCAGTGTTTTGTGATGTTGTGCATAGTGTCACTATCAGTTGGAACTGACTCAGTGGCATCTACCAGCAACAAGAACAGCAAATGTCAGTGGTGCTCAAGTTGAGAAATCCTGATCTCAAGGTGAATTCTCTACAGTGAGGGCATGGTCAGGAGCCTGGACAAGGCACTGGGCTGGCAGAGGAGAGGACCACGAGCTGCACCAGTAGGAACATCCAAGGCTTGGGCCCAGGTCTCAGGATAAGTGCAGGATGGGGTTTATGAGGCTGTGACTGGAGAGAATGTCAGAGAAGGAACATGCGGGTTCCAGTAGTGGCCAGAGCAGAGGGTGACTGTGCTATGGACCAAGTGGAGAGTCCTGGAGATGACGACAGTGCGTCAGGTCAGTAGCCTCAAGGGCATCAGCAGGCATTTGAGTATTTATTCATCTGACACATGTTTATTGAGTGCCTTCTGTATGCCAGGAACTGCGTATGAGTGACGTGGGGACAGGGCTGTGTGGGACAGGCATGGTTCTTGCCCTCTAGGAGCCTGAGCCAATGGTCTGTGAAGTCCCAGAGTTGTGGAGTTGCATGCAGAAGTCAAGAGCTCAGAGGAGGTCAGGGCTGAAGCTGACACTGGGCGGAGTGGGCCTGGGCATGAGAGGGGAGTCTCGGACTGTGCCAGGGTGCTCTGTATTTCCTGGTGGCCTTCAGGCGCAGCCAGAAAAGGAGCCCAAGGGAAGACCCACTAGGAAGAAGAGTGATGGGAGAAAGGGGTGGAGGCTGCAAGGGAACTCTGTGCTTCTGCTGAGAGGTGTAGGCAGGTATGTGTGTGAGGGGAGCACATCCCTGAGGGTGTGGCTGAGGGGGGTTGGGACAGGAGCCCTGTGGACCATGTGTGGCCCACGGATGGAGAAGCAGTGTGGCACAAAGGTCCCACGCCGGCTCATGATGGCTGATTAGAGATAGCCCAGACACCTAAAGGGAAGAGGTTCAGCGGGATGTCTGGCAGCTGTGTGCAGGAGCCAGGGACTGGCGGCCCAGCCCATTGCTTCCCCTTGGGAGATGTGCCAGTGTGTGTGTGTGGGTGGGTGGGGGGCGCTGTGTAGAGGGAAGAATCCACCGGAAAATCATGTCTCACTTCCCTGTAGGCAACAGGAGGGGTGTTGGAGGAAAATGTGGTGGCAGAGTTTCCTGGCCGGCCCAGCAGTGGGGGTGGTTTGAGGGACAGGCAGGAGTGAGGCTACAAAGACACTCAGAGGAGCATGCATGGATGGTGCAGCAGGGAGTTAGTTAATGCTGGGGTGGGGTGGGGAAAGTGGGTACGGCTGGAGAGAGAATTCAGCTTAGGCCCACTACCTTTTCCCATGGGAGCCTCTGGGGTCTGTACCATGCTTGAGACGACAAATTTTATAGAGTTTACTCCTTTTTAAGTGAATGGACTCTCGCCTCATCTGTCCCCTCCTGGTCCAAGGCATTAACAAAATGGCAGGCCGGGAAGTGCGTGGTGGTGTATCTGCCTTGGAGTTCATTGCAGTGGCCTGGAGATGGCCTCCTATTGTATCCCCTTCTTCAGCAAGGGGGCGCTCCCCAGACATAAGCTGTTGAGACGTGTGGAAGCAAGGCATTGGAAGAGTTGTCCTTAAGTCAGGCAGTCACAGATGCTTCTGTAAGAGGTGCCAGACGTGGTGGGTCTTAGCATCTGGAATCTCTGCATCTACCCCGGTCCAGCTCAGAGACCTCACCAAGACGCTTCTTTTGCCTAAACCACAGCAGTCCTCAAGGGAACATGTATTAAGCACCCTGCACATGCACAGCTCACAGTAGGATCACAGACGTCTTGGTCAGAACTTGGTTGCAGTTGATAATCTTCACAACACAACGCAAATAATAAACACGTACAACTGTTGACTCGTGCCATTGAAAATCCCATTGGTTCTGGCTTCAGGCACAGTTGCATCCTGGGGCTCAAACATTGTTTTCCAGACTCTTTGTCTTTGGCCTCTGTGGTCTTCTGGGTGGGTCGGGTAACTGCCAGCAGCTCCAGCCATCCCTCTTCTCTGTCTGGCCTTCTATACAAGGGACACTTAGGTTCCTTAGGTTCAGCAGTTTGATTGGACAGCAGGGCCTGAAGGTCTTCTTGCAAAGCATTTCATGACAGACTAAAGCCGCTGGCCAGAGTGGCACAGTGCCCAATGTGGACTGTGATGCCTATGTTGCTCAGGGCCACCACCAGCCATGTCCTCACCAGCCCAGCACAAGGGTAGACTCTCTTGCCCAGTGTTTCCAGCAAATTGTGGAATGAGCCTCCCTTGCCCATCCCCTGCCCAGTGACTGTGAGCAGGGAAATGGAACACCCTGGCTGCCCTGGGCTGGGGACGCAGTTAGCTCCCCCCCAAATCACATGACCAAGTGGAGCCAGTGGTTCTCTAGAGGGAAGTGGGGGTGCTTTCCCTGAAGAAGGGGAAAGAAGAGTGGACAACAACAACAAAAAAACATATAACAAACCACACATAGCCACTTTGCAGGCCTTTGCTTATAATTTCCAGTTGCCATCAAGTAAATTCCAACTCTTGGTGACGCCACGTGTATCAGAGTAGAACTGAGTTCCATAGAGTTTCTGACTTTCCAGAAATAGGGTGCCAGGCCCTTCTTCTGAGGCATCTCTGGGTGTGCACAAATGTCCAGTCCTTCAGTTAGCAGCTAAGGGTGTTAGCAGTTTGCTCCACCCAAGGAGTCAGTTATGATCGCTTACTCTTTTGTCTCCCCTTCCCCTGATGGAAGGGCAGAGGCAGTTTCGATGGGGGCCTTGAATTGCAATTGACTGGGGAGGAGGTGGCATGTAGGGGCTCCCTCTGTGTCCCTACTAGATACAGGGGACTTGAGCAGTGGTTAGCCAAGAGACTCCAGAAGGGTGCTTAGAAGGCCTGGCCTCAGGCTGACCACAGTGTGCTTTGCAGATGGGAGGATCCGGTTGGCAACACTGGAGCTGAGTTGTCTGCTCTTGAAGCAGCAAGTCCTGACCAGCGGCAACTGCATCATCAAGGACGTGCACCTGGCCTGCCTGGAGGTGAGGCCTCTCCTCCCCGCTTCCCTGTGTGCTGGCCGGGATTGGTGCAGAAGGGTGGGAGGCCACTGCGAATGGCTGGAGTCCCCTGTCTGTGGCATGCACAGCACCAGCCAGATGGAGCAGAGCCTGGTGTCTGTTCCAACCCCCTTTTTCAAATGGGAACTTCCTGCAGCTGAGAATTGCTTGAAGAGGCCACTTCCTTATTGTGTTTTATGATTTCTGTTACAGTTATTTGGCCTCTGTATTTGACCTTGGGGTTTTTTGTTTGTTTGTTTTACAAAATAACATATGGATACACACATACCTTTGTCAAGTTTTCAATAGCTTTTTTTGTTTTCCCCCTCATTTCCATGTTTAGTTGGGAAAATTTAGAAAAAAGAGAGCCATGCAGTGGCAACTACAGTTAACACTTGTGTGGGTCTTTGTGTGTGTGTGTACACTCACACCACTGAACTTTTATTTTATAAAGATGGAGTGGTAATGGCCATGTTTGTAACCCATTGTTCCCCACTTGACTCTGTATTAACCACTCTCCATGCTATTAAGTTGAATTGCTTGTCCTTTGCCCACTTTATGTTCAGGTCACTCTCTCCATCTCTCTCTGTGAGACCCATTTTACATAGGGAGGGGACTAGCCCAGCGTCTGTTTTATTTCTACTCGGACTTTAGACTTAGCAGTTTCCTAGGCTCACTGGCCTCCACAAGACTGGCCTACTTCACGCCTTTCTCCTCTTTTTAACAGGGTGCGAGAGAAGAAAGTGTTCACCTGGTACGACATTTTTATAAGGTAGGTTGGCAGAGCATGGTTGTACGTCTTGTAAAAACAGGATATTGGTGTCTAGGCCTGTACACGTTGAGGTCACAGGGCTTGAGTTATTTTTTTATTGGGTAAAAATGCTCAGTTT